TGATCCATATGACATGGGAGGGGATCATTGTTTTTTGCCTGGGGGGAATGGAAGGTTGGTTCAGGCTCTGGCAGAAAATGTGCCAATTTTGTATGAGAAAACTGTGCATACTATTAGGTATGGTAGTGATGGAGTGCAGGTTATGGCCGGGAGTCAGGTGTATGAAGGTGATATGGCATTATGTACAGTGCCTCTTGGAGTTTTGAAGAGTGGGTCAATCAAGTTTATTCCTGAGTTGCCTCAGAGGAAGCTTGATGGCATAAAGAGGTTGGGATTTGGGTTGTTGAATAAGGTTGGAATGCTTTTTCCTTACGTATTTTGGGGTACAGATCTTGATACCTTCGGGCATCTTACTGAAGATCCAAACCGTCGAGGGGAGTTTTTTCTATTTTACAGCTATGCAACTGTTGCTGGTGGTCCACTCTTGCTTGCTTTAGTGGCAGGAGAAGCTGCCCACAGGTTTGAGACTATGCCTCCTACAGATGCAGTAACCCAGGTTCTCCAAATTCTCAAGGGTAATTAATTTCATTTTATGTGTTGACATGCTTTATTTATTGCTGCTTCTTTCTTTCTCTAAGTTGAAATCTATCTTGTAGTCTGAAATACCAAAATGCATTCATTAGATACAAAATATATATTTAACATATGATGCATTTTAATTTTTTCTATGTATTGGTTCTAAGCGTGGCTCAATTTAATTGCAACTTCCTTGAATAGTAGATAACTCTTTGATTTTATGTGCATATTTTTTGAAGAAAGGGTTTACATATGATGCATTTTTTATGTATTTTATGTATTAGTTGCATGTGTGGTTCAATTTATTGGCAACTTCCATGAATAGTAAATAACTCTAGGCAGTTTCTCATTGATTTTATGTGCATATTCTATAAAGGAAGGGCAGAGTGTCCTTTGTAATTGAATCAAGTGAAGTTAATTAATAGTACATTTTTTGTGCATTTTAACGTTTTTGATTTTGGTTGTTGTTTATGATGTTAACTGGCAGTAGTTAATTTCTTAAGTCCAAAGATTTAGGTTTTTGTTGGTTATGTGAAATTATTCTGAGGCTTTGTGTATGATTGCATTTAGGTATATATGAACCACAAGGAATCACTGTCCCGGAGCCCCTCCAAACTGTCTGTACTAGATGGGGTGGTGATCCCTTCAGCCTAGGTTCATACTCTAATGTTGCAGTGGGAGCATCTGGAGATGACTATGATATATTAGCAGAAAGTGTGGGAGATGGAAGGCTTTTCTTTGCAGGGGAGGCCACTACAAGGCGGTATCCTGCAACCATGCATGGAGCGTTTCTTACTGGGCTAAGGGAAGCTGCAAATATGGCTCAATATGCCAAGGCTCGGACTGGGAAGAAAAAGATTTACAGGAGTCCATCTAATAATGCCCATTCCTGTGCTTCTCTACTCATGGATTTGTTCAGAGAACCTGATTTAGAATTTGGGAGTTTTTCTGTTATTTTTGGTCGGAAGAATGCTGATCCAAAGTCGCCTGCTATTTTGAGGGTGACATTTAGTGAGCCCCGAAAGAAGAATCAGGAAGGTTCAAAGACAGATCAGCAACATTCTAATAAGGTGCTTTTTCAGCAGCTCCAATCACATTTTAATCAGCAACAACAGCTGCATGTTTACACATTGTTATCAAGGCAACAGGCACTTGAGCTGAGAGAAGTGAGAGGCGGTGATGAGATGAGGTTGAACTACCTGTGTGAGAAGCTGGGAGTTAAGCTGGTGGGAAGGAAGGGTTTGGGACCTACTGCTGATTCTGTCATTGCTTCTATAAAAGCACAGAGGGGTGTTCGAAAACCCTCTTCAACTCCTTTGGCTCTAAAATCAGGTGAGAGTTGTTAGATATTTATTGATTCCTTTATCCATAAATATGGAAATTACTTTTGTCTTAACGCTCGAAATAACATTTCTATGGTTTGGTAAAGGGATGTCAAAGCTGAAAACGGGCACTCTGAAGCAAAAATTCATCAGGTAAGAGCCAAATGTTTCAATTTTGTTCTTGTATAGGTTGACAATCCCCTTGTAATTAATGAAGGAATATTACCTGATCTTATTTTCTTCTTTCTTCCTTATTTTTGCAGAAGGGCCAAAATAGTGCGCAACACTAAAGGGTTGATTCGTCCTCCAATTCTGAATGCGGTAAATGGCAGTGTGCCAGAGGAAATAAAAGTGATAAATCAGGCTCCTCCTGACATCTCTACTTCAGGTATCTGAAGGTTTCTAGTTTACTTGTGTAGCTTCATTTTTTTGGGTTCATTTTCATGCCATGCAGTTGATTGTTCAAGTTGTATTGTTCTTTTACTTCCTTCTTCTAAAGTAACATCAATTGTTTTGGTGTCAGTTGGTTGCTATTGTGGTGTCAAATGTCTTAATTGTTCCTTTCTTCTGTCTTTCTGTACTTCACAGGAGTGTTTTCCTCTGTATAAAATATGGGGATACTACGGTTTTTGCCACTTGTTTCTTCTTGATTTGAAGTGACTTGTGATGGAAAAGCCAAGATAATAAATGCGATTTATGCTTTATTGAATTGTCCAAATTTACTTATTTGGTCAGTCCGTTGTTGTAGTTGTCTTTTTTGATATGTTAGTATTTTTCAAACGAAAAATCTGTATACTGAAACTTCCATTTTAATAGGGCAAAATCTAGGTGAGACGTTGAAGCAATGAGCTGGGTATGTGATGGTGAATTCATTATGGATCCTGAAGATCTTGAGAGGTTATAGTGCAGTGACATTGTCTAAGCCAGAATGTTCTGCAGATTCCCTTCTTAAATGGATGCATCTTGTCTCTGAGTTCTTCAAAATGTTGCTTACAAGTTGCAACCAAAAGTTCTACCCCCACCAGTAGGGAACCGTATTATTTTGGTTAAACTTTTGGTTCAATCACTAGCACTGTAGAGTTGTCCTTTGCCTTGGCCTATATCCTGAAAGGTTAAAATGCTATAGCTAGCCATATATTGAGCAAGAACCAGATGGTGGCAACCGTCTTGGGATGCCTTAGTTGATCATCCCCTGTTGAAGACATCCCTGCCACTTGCTGCAGCACCAAACTTGGCCTTCAAAATCACTTCTTTGACATCAGCAATTCTGAAGCTTGTGATCAAAAGCCGTCCGATAGTCATGTTGCCAGTTGTGACCAGATGTGATGGAGAAAATGTTCTGCCATAACTGAGGCTTTCTCGGTAAGATTCCGCGTGAGAAGCAGAACAGGCACTGATTCTTTTATATCCTCACGTCATCAGAGAAACTGAGCAGTGTCTTTAGCAACTAGAAGATGGGACTGTTCTCGATGTTGTCAGTGACATTAAACCATATCCGAGGATGCTGCTTTCTATGACCTCAAGACTGCAGAATGATTAGCTGCATTTTAAAATCTTTGGTTAAAGATGACTTGCAAGAGTTAATTGATATCTGTCTCAACATCTTGTGCTAACTATTTATCCCGCTTCACGGGGTATTAGTATTGGTTAAGCTTACAGCCCAACCTTGAAGGCACTATCTTAAATAGCTAACTGCACATCAGGCTGTATAGAAAGCTGAGGCAAATACTATGCCCATAAGAACTGCAAATATATTTTGAGAAGCTCCTATCGATATTTGCTTGGAATAATGAACATTGATGAATGACATCTGGATATTTTCATTCAATTCCAAAATCACTATAATTTTTTTTTTGCTGACTTGTGTTCTCTATCCTTCCATTTATTTTTGTTGTTTTTTTGTGTTTCCTCCTTAAGATGAGGATACACTAATGTTACTTATTTGGAGAAAAAACACCCTTGAATAGCACTTCGGCCATGGGATTTGACCATTTTGCTGGACTTTTTACGGGATGATGCAGGCAAGTCTGGTAAGTAGGACAATCATTGGCGCCACTGGGTGTGGGTGTCTTCCATGGTTCGATGGACTGGTAATTTGGCATGAAGCCATAAGCCCCTGTCACTGCGGAATGACCCAAATGGTCTCCAAGTACGATAGAGAGGGGAACTGCTATATCTTGCGGTAGGAGGCCATTAAGAGTCAGCAAAACTAGAGATGCTTGCCTTATTAAACAACTCTTTCAAGGGTTTGAAGACGGAACAGTCAAAAATGTTGAGAGAATTGGAAAGAATAATAAGAGCCAGTTTAGTTTTTTTTTTTTTAATTTAAATGTTATTATTAAATTTTTATAAAAAATAATAGCTTTTAGAATTAAATAAAGTTGTTTGGTAAACTGTTTAATAAAATAAATTATATAAGTTTTAATTTCAGTTAAAATTACCATAAAAGATATTCATGTCATCTTTAATCACCTAATAAACTATAATGTAATGCTTCAAGTTTTTATATAATTTCAGATGTTAAAATTAAAAAAATAATAAAATAAAAAGAATAACTCTCAAACTTATATAGTAATAATAGTATTAGATTTTTGTTGATCTAACAAGCAATCTGACCATGACATTTCAATTTTCAAAAAAAAAAAAGAGAAAAATGATGTATTTAACATTAAAAACTTTTTTGATGAAAAAAAGAGAATCTTTAAATAGTATCTGAATGCAATTTTAAATTTTAATTTTTTTTTCTTTTAATCTTTGTAAGAATAAAAAAATTTTAAATTCTGATATCTTGTTGTTGGATCTTTTATTTTTTTATTAATTTTTGTAGAGAGAAGTAAAGAAGAAAGAAATCTTGATGTAAGTTGAAAAATGGTAATTTGTAGAGAGAAAAAGAGGAAGAGATTAATTGAGAAGGTCATTTCTTGAAAATTTAATGTGTTTTTTTAAAAAGAGAAGAAAAAGCTCCTTTCTAGAGCTTTTTTTTAGGTTTTTTTAAAAATTTTGTTCTTAAAAAAAAGCTTTTTTTTTTTTCAAGAGATTCTCAAAAGATCATGTATAGCCTAATTTTTGCTTTTAAAGGATAGATAAGCTCAAAAAAAATCAAACCAAACAAACACTAAGATTGAATACTGCATTTTTAATATTATTTATACCACCAAATCATTGATATTAAAGAATAAATTGCTCCATCAATTAATTTGTATACAACCGTACATATAACCATTCTCTGGAGATACTTTTACAACAAGCAACAGTATTTACACAACTCAAAACTTCATTTTCAATCTAAATGCTGTCAAGTTAAAGCCCATCTGTGTCAGTGTCTCCCTTGCTTTTATCCATTTTGCCTTCAGTCCCGTCCAACCATTGTTCTAATTTAGCTTCTTTATCAGCCTTGAAATCATCATAGTTTTTGGACATGAACGATAAATTGTGATGCGACGGCTTGATATCATCTTCAGTTGCTTCCTCTTCTTCTTCATGGACTTCATCTGCCATTTGACAGGATAAGGGTAACTCATCAGCTTCTGTATCAGGAATTGAGAAACTAGTACTGGCAGATGCAACTGATAGTGGTGGAGTAGGATGTGACAGTGGCTTCTGGGGCTGCTTCTGTATCTGTTCCTTGGACTCAAGTTGTGGCCACTTAAAATTGCTTGCCTTTTGCCTTGCTGACTTGATTACAGTTGAAAAATAATTACTTCCATCCTGCTGGACATTTTCAGAGCCATGACCCCAAGACATTGGTCCCCAAGAGCTAGTTCTTCTCATCTGAAAGCTTGAAGCAGGACTGTGGATCAATCCTCTCTTCTGTTGTTTTGCTGACATTATCGTTAGAGAATTCCTAATTTCCTTAATCATCTCATCAGCAATAGGAAAGCCACATTCCTTCATCGACCTCACCATGGTGATAGAATCTTCCAAGTCCTCTGTGTGCAAAGTTGCTTCACGAGACTTTTCTACAACATGATTATTGAGATTAACTACATTCGGAACGGCATTTTGGGTGTGCTGTTGAACATAGAAAAGACCCACTGAGGGTTCATTCGCCACGTACTTGATCATCTCTGCCAGGGATTCAGTTATCTCCACAAAGCCATCCACAGTGGAGAATCCATTCATCTTGTTGAAGGTGAATGACAATTCATCACTGGTTTGTCAAAAATCACAAATGGCAATGCATATCAAAGGGGGAGCTTTTTTATTTTTTTAAGAAAAGAAACAGAAAAGAAAATCCAGAATACTGGGAAAATCATTTTTTATTTGAAGGACAAACTATCAATGCATGTATCTATCCCAGTAGTTATATATTTCATCTGGGAAAAAAAAGTAACAGAAAATAACTGATCTGAGTATTGAATTTAACAAACTTGTCATTGTTTGCAATTATAAAGGGAAATGCCAAATTTTACTCATGCCATCCCAAATTTGCATTTTCTTAACTCCATCTACCTTGATGTAAACAGAAACAATTACGATAACATCGATCCCAAGTTTGAACAAGACTCATCACACACCTCATTCATAGCTGCTAGTGGTTCTAAGTTTTGAACTATGAACTGTTCTACAGGAAAAATTCAAACTATACCCCATTAAAAGCTTTAGTACCCAAAAATACAAATTTCTTTTTTAATTGGGAAAGGGATTAGAACACATCTGTTTGAGTTGGAGTTTGGAATACAAACACTTACGACCTAATAGTTGGATGCCTGAATATGCAAACTTAATTTTGACAAGAAAGTGCCAAATCCTTCGCTAAAGGGTCTAAGTTCCTGTCGCATCTCTCTACGGTCAAGATAAACCTTCAAGTTATACCAAATCATTCCCACACAATGTTTCCTGGATAGTCCAAAATCTGGAAAAGAAAAATAAAAAGTAGAAAGATTGAATTATAGGGTTTAATATCATAGTTTACCATTTGTTTCTTTAAGCAACAGGTTTTCCTCTTCACAGATTGAGCTTAGCCTAAACAGTTTCATCCCTAAAAAAAAATAAAAAAAAATCAAGCATAAATTCTTCAAAATCATATGCCTCTTCAATTAAGCAAGAGACAAAAACAACCCATTAAACCACAACAAAAAAGATCAGGCATTTAAATCAGTACCCACATTAAAACATTACATTATAACAAAAACCCAGATATCAAAATTTGTTTTTGACTTCGATTTATGCAATTAAAGGGAGCTATGTAATCAAATAGTTTGAAAAAAAAAGGGAAATCACTTACCAAAATACCTCTAGAAGAACAGATACATATGCCCAAAAAGAAAAACAATCTTCAGGTTCTCGATCAAAAGAAGAAAGATTCAAGCTTCAAACTTGGAGAGTAAAGAAGCTCCTTGGCTTCCTTTTCCTACGATTTCCTTTTTTTTTTTTTCTTTTTATGTTTTCTCTGTCTCTTTTCTATGAAGCTCTGCCATTTTCTTTTCCATTTTTTATGCGTATGTAATTTTGTTCGTAAAGAATCTAGGTAAAATATAGTAGGAATTTATGGCTAAGGATTTTTATGTAATTTTGTTTGTAGCTTTGTGCCTTTGTATAAAACTATGCAAATCCATCTCTATTTGGTTTAATTTTCGGCTCTATTTGGTTTAATTTTTTTCTCCATTCGGAAGAGAAAAATTTTTACAAATATAAAATATTTTACAAATTACATTCATCAACGTAAAATCTCTTATATATAAAAAGAGCATAAAACAATTTTTATTTGCTTCTCCTCTTTCTTAGATTAATCTCATTTAAAAAATATTGTTCTCTTCTTTATGTGAGATTGACTCCATAAAGTAATAAAATAATAAAGTATTATTATTTCTTTTTTTATCTCTTTATTTATTAGTTTTTTTTCAACAAAGTATTATTAATTATTTTTATTTAATTATTTTATAGGATCAATTGTTATATAATTATTTTTAATAAAATGCTATAATCTTTAAAATACAAAGTAATCAAGGTCAATTAGGAAAAAATTATATAAAATAGGAAATAAATTTTTACACATGAAACTCTTTCCTTTCTTTTAATTTTTAATTTTCGATTTATTGTTTTAAGAAATTATCTGATTTAACAATATAATGAGAAATAAATAAGGTTAAATATTATTTATATAATATTTTTAATGTTAAAAAAATATTTTAGATGTATTAAAAAATTAATAAATATTAATATTTTTATTCTGTTATTATAGAAAATTATTAAAGATAGGTTATGATGGAAATATTTTTTACAAGATAATTCAAATAATAGAAAATATTTTTAACTGTTTATTTATACAATATAAAATGTTATATTTTTCAATAAAGTATTTTACACAAAAAAGATTTTTTTTCAACAAATTATTTATGATTACCAAACAAATTTCTTCGCAGTTTTTCTCCTATAAACAGACATGTCATAAAATTTGTTACTAATTATACTTAGGATATTTCATATTTCATAATTAATTTCTGCTAACTAGGTCATTGTGTCACGGACCGCAGTTCAGCGCATTGGAGGTGGCCTGAGGGTGTTTCATAGTGCTGGTATATAGGGGAGTATTGCTGGGAGAGAACCCCCATTGGATAGCAGAAGGCAGGTGCAGGGTGCCCAACAGGGGCGTGCAGCACAGACCCCTGGGCGAGCCAGCCCTCACAGAGCCAGACAGACTGCACGCCGGTGGCCCAGGCGCGTCGGCCCGCACAGCGGTGCGCGAAACGTAGGCCCGCACAGTAGGGGTGCGAGGCATGCAGGCCCGGGGTCGCAGGCCCTCACAGCATGGGCGCGCGGAACGCAAGCCCGGGGTGCGCCGGCCCGCAAAGTAGGGGTGCGGGACATGCCGGCTCGCATGGAGCCCAAACAGACTGCCTGTGCTCGGCCCGAGCTCACCAACTCGCCAGCGCCCAGGCACACAGCCTGTGCACGACTCAGACCTACCAGGAGACCAAAAATGATACCGGCCCACTACACCAGCCCTTTTAATGGCCTGAGCTGCTGAAATTTTAGTTTCTCTCCTAAAAATATTTGGAGGGAACTCTTTTGGAGGGAACTTTTTTGAGGGAAATTGGCTATAAATAAGCCATTGTAGATTGTGTAAATCAGTTCAGAATTCAATACAATTCTTAGCTTTTCTTTTTCACTCTCAAAAATTCTGCAGCTCTCTCCTCTCTTCTCTTCCCTTCCCTTTTCCGCAAGTTTGCTTGCTGGCTTAAAGCCTACTGTGTGCGTGTGCGGGTGACGGTTGATCGGAAAGTAGTGTGCTATGTGTGAGTGTGTTGAGTACTTGCTGGGTGGGTGCTGAGCACAAAGGCTGACTTGGGTTTCAGCATCGAGATAAATGGTGAACCCAAGGTCGCACGGAGGGAGGGAGGTCTGAAGAACCACCTCGTGACAGTTGGTATCAGAGTCGTTTATGATCTGAGTACGCGCCACAGTGTTTGAGCGTGTAGGAGGTGTTCGAAAGGGAGACATGACTACTAGCGGGTCAAACATGCCGGAAGACACTCTTGAGGTAAGGGAAATGTGCGCCGGTTGAAAGGCAAAGTCTACCTCACGAGACTTAATCCCTGAGCTGGACGCTAGGCTGTCGAGAGTGAAAGTGACAGTGGGCGAGATGCGTGACCGTCTCGATGTGCAAAAGGAGCATATGGAAGAGCTCCATGCTCGAGATGAGGAACTCAAATGGGAGGTCCAGGAAATGGTGAGGGAGACCTTTGAGATGGTGACAGAACGAAACGCTCAGCTTGAGAGCGTGTGAAAACTTGAGGGGTGAGCTGGAAGAATTGAGGCGGAAGTACGTACGGCAAGAGCCGAAGGTGGCCAGAGGCTGCATCGCTCGAAATGAGGCTAAAAGTGCCTAAGTCGAGAGAATTCCGAGGCCGAGGGATGCCAAGGAAATTGATAATTTTCTCTGGGAGCTAGAGAATACTTCAAAGCCACCGGATTGTGACAGATGATCGCCGAGTTATCGCGGCATCCATGTATTTGGGAGACACGGCACTGCTTTGATGGAGGAGGCGGTGCGATGATAGGCTAGGTGGAGTGCAGGTACTCACGTGGGCTAGATTTCAAGTGAGTTACAAAGTAGTTTTACCCCGAATATGCCATGGATGAGGCGAGGGCAAGCTGCGACGGCTGTTCAACGTGGGAAATCCGAGAATATGTGAAGGATTCATGAATTGCCTTCAAGTGGGTGATCTAGGGAGAGGGAGCTCTCTTCACCTTCATGGATGGTTTGAACCATGGGCTAAGTAAGAACTGCAGAGCGAGGCATGCAAGACCTCACTCGAGCCATGGCAGTGGCGGAAAGCTTGGTGATTACTCACGGACAGACAAGGATAAAGCCGCACCACCCAAGTCGAAGGATAAAGGCAAGGGCTGGGCAGACAAGGACAAAGGCAAGCAGTCTAAGGACAGTGACGATGGCAAGCCACAATCGAAGTGGAAAGGCAATCTGCATGAAGAGAAACCTTATGAAAAGGGAGACAAGCTTAAGAGCTGCTTTTTGTGTGACGGACCGCATTGGGTTCGAGATTGCCGAAACGCTCAAAGCTGGTGGCGATTGCTCGGAGGAGGAGCCAAATCGGACAAGGCAGCGCGGATCTCAGTGCTGCTGGGAGCAGTGAACAAGGTGGGTAGTCGAGCCAAGGCTCATGTACGCAAGCGTGATTATTTCGGGACAACAGGTGAAGCTTTGGTGGACACTGAGTCTCGATCTTTTCAGTTCGAGTAGTGTGCGCTAAGCTGGGTATTAGACCACAGTGCAAGTGGTTGGTAAAGACTGTGAACTCCAAGAGAGTGCGACAAAGGCATTGCCAAGGGATTGATGTGAGCTTGGACAGTGGCATGGGGTTGGAATTGAGATCATTTCGATGGATGACTACGATGTAGCTATGGGATCGGATTCCTGGACAGATTCAAGCCGTTCTCATGCCGCACAATGACTGCATTTGTATCTTGGATCAAAAAGATGCTTAGTGCCGGTATGACGGAGCGCAGCTCAGCCAACAAAAATATTGTCTGCCATGCAGCTGCAAAGGCGTACGCAAGGGTGAGCAACGTTTGCTGCCTTCTGAGTCTAGAGGACACCCCGGAAGTGATTGAGGCACCGCAGAAGTGCTTGAGGTGCTGAAGGAGTTTCGGGATGTAATGCCTCAAGCTGCCGGCCACTTGCCTCCTGTACAGAAGTCGACATCACATTGAACTATGCCAAGGGCACAACCACCCGCAGGGCACCGTATCATGGCACCCCCCGAGTTGGCAGAATTGAGAAAGCAATTGGGGAGCTTATTGACGCTGGTTCATTAGGCCATCCAAATCTCCTTTTGGTGCTCCGTTTTTTTCAAAAGAAACATGATGGTCTACTGAGGCTATGCATCACTACCAGCTTTGAACAAGCTAACGGTCAAGAATAAGTACCCGATCTCGCTCATAGCCGACTGTTTATAGCTAGGCAGTGCACGCTGGTTTTCGAAGCTGATTCTGCCGGGTACTACCAAGTGAGGATAGCTGCAGGGGACATATCCAAGACTGTATGTGTGACTGATATGGGCGTATGAGTTTTTGGTTATGCCTTCGGATTGACAAACGAGCCGGCAACATTCTGTACTCTAATGAACAAGGTATTACAACCATTTCTACAATTTGTAGTTGTTTACCTTGATGAATTGTTGTCTATAGCCATTTGTTGCATGAGCACTTACAGGTTTTTGAGGCACTTAGACAGCATGAACTATATGTGAAAAAAGAGAAATATTGTTTCGGTTTGCATGAGGTGCGTTCCTAGGGCACATGTGGGAGATGGTAAAATCGATGGACCGTCTAAGGTGAGTGCTATCCAGAAATGGGAGTCGCCCGCCAAGGTAAAAGAGCTGAGATCTTTTGGTTGGCTAACTACTATCGCTGTTCATTGAGGAGTATTCAAGCATTCTGCATCACTCACCGACATGTTGAAGAAAGTCGAGCGTGGGAATGGAATGCAGTGAGCCGACACACCTTTGATTGTAAAACATGCAGATGTGAGCAACCGTGTTGGGACTGTCGATAATACGCTGCCATATGAGGTGCATACAGACGCAAGCGACTTTGCCATCGAGGTGTACTATAACAGCCGAGCATCCAATTCGTAGAGAGTGGAAGCTGAAGATACCAGCGACGGTATACGGTTAGAAAAAGAGAATCAGCGGTGTGCATTGCTTACGGACATGGCGACATTACTTATTAGGGCTAAATTTGTGGTGCGAACCGACAATGTGGCCACATCTTACTTCCAAAGCCAGAAAAAGCTAAGCCCAAAGCAGGCTAGGTGGCAGGATTTCTTGGTAAAATTTGATTATGAGCTAGAATATAAGCCGGGCAAGGCTAATTCAGTGGCCGATGCATTAAGCAGGAAGGCTACTCTAGCTGCCGTCAGTGAGGTGCGCACAGAGCTACTATCGCGCATTCGAGAAGGCACAAAACGCGACCCGACCGCAC